ATATACAGGGTGTGTGTCAAAATGAAAGAGCAGATTTGACATGTTTATTACTTGAAACCTGTTCTTTCATTATGAAACACCTTGTATAGCATTTAAGGTTGAGGCTTCTAAGAAAGGCTGGAAAAGGAAAGCATTCATGTGTGAGATGACGTGTAGCGTGCAGCGAAGTTGAGAAGATTCCCTTTAACCAAACTCTTAAATTGGTATTATGCAGAACTTATTTTTATATGCGTGATACGTAGCTTTAGGTTAGAAAAACTTATTATTATACAAATTACATTATTACAAAAATCCTATGAACTTTTAAAAAAAGTATGGTAATGATAAATTTGTAAAATATAATAATTATTTGCACGGGTATGAGCAAAAACTATGGGTTTTACTGTTCAAGTTTTATTCCAAACAAAGTACTATTAATGATTATTTGTTTGATATTTAATGTTATTATTTTATTCCATTTCAACTAGTTATAGGCCTATAGTAATCATCAAAATATCTTATACGAATTTGGTTTAGTTACAAAATATGCCACGTACCTTTCCGTCACAAAATCTACGGGTATTTTAGGTTTCATCAAAAATTATCAGTGTTGCTCTTGACTTTACTTAATCGTATATATCACAGATCATAAGTTTTTAGAATCATTATTCTGTGAATTGATAGAAGGTAAATAGCTATGTAACATACAAACATACTAAAAAGACATTCTCTGTTATCTTAGGTTAGATAAGGAGGGTTGATGGTTTACACAAGGACAATTTATGACTCTACCACCCAATAAACAGGCGTCTGCATGGCTAGGGCTGACTCAGGCGGTTATAGTGTTATCGCAAGTGTCAATAGTCTGGACATTCTCAAACGTGATAAAAACATATTAAACTTAATCGTGCCTATAACTGTTATGATCCCTTTGATATGAGTTAACATTATGTTTCAAAGGTTATGTTAGTAGCATTAATAACGAAAAAATGTTTTTACTAGTTTAATTGTTTAATATTTAGTAAAAATACCACATTGGAATATTTTTAATTACTTATTTTCCTCCCTTACTTTGTGCTTATCATTGCAAAGCACTGTACAAAAATTATGAATAAATAATAGTACAACATTTATAATGTTTAAATATTCTGTAAAATATGCTTCATTGCTTAACACTAGAATACAGTTAATTAAAAAGTAACCGGATACTAAAGAACGCTGGATGCTTTACAAATTCATCACAATAATACATTTAAAATTTGTTAAACAATTCGTTACCGGTTATGAGCTTTTAGAGTTTTTTTTATTTAATTATAAACATTCTTTGCTTCTTAAAGTTTTTATGAGAAAGCAAGTAAGAGGTGGAATAATTTTATAAATCACTGTAAAAATGTATTTATTGTATCCAAAATAGTTATTTTAGTGGAAAATAATCATATAATATTTTTTGCTACAATAACTACTAATATTTAAATTTAAATATAAAATAATTGATTTAATAATCATTTTGGTTTCTATTAAATTGAGTTTACTAATGTTTTGTTGTTGTTGTATAAAAAAAATAATGTGCCTTAACAGGTAATTCATTGGTAATTTAATAGTTTTATCAATGAGCAAGCCACGCAATGGTATTTTCTGCTTGTTCTACTTATATTT